AAAGAAAGAAAGAAAGAAAGAAAGAAAGAAAGAAAGAAAGAAAGAAAACTCCCGACGCGATACTATTAAGTGCTGCGCACCTTAAAAATTCGCGCACGACTACATAAATGCTGTGCTTCGCACCGCATTAAAAACTCGCGACGGACTACATGAATGCTGTGGTTCGCACCGTATTAATGAAGAAGACTGATGTGAGTCGTAACAATAACATAGTTTATCAGAGAATTTTTAGCTTGCAATACGTTTTCATTCATGGTATGATGCAGTGATGTATGATCAAAAACGCTGTGTTACCCAAGAACTTGAAAATTCAATATCTCAAGAGAGGAAGGCCATAGGACCAAATCCTTTTAGGATTATTCTAGTCTAGAGGTCCTCTCGGTATTTTCAAAATGTCAGCTCAAAAGCCGTGTATCACTTCTAATGGTCCATTCGTAAGCCTGGTGCATACCTTAGTAGATGATCAAGTGTTTTTTCTTCAGCCGCTTTGGTTGAATCATTTGAGTTGACCTATCACTTGATAACAGCCATCTAGAAGTGGCCTTCTTGTAAAGAAGTGTAACATTTACCACTTACCTGGTAAGTGGTAAGTATTGTAATTCTTGAAAAATTATCCATATAGAACTAATAATGATCATTTTAATTATTAATTTTCATTCTTGCGCAGTAATCTATACCACTTACCATTTACCATTTACTAGTGATGGTAAGTGGAATATGAGACCCCTAGTGTGGGTGTGAATAGGTGTCAAAAGATCGAAAGTCAAAACGTCGAAAAGAAAAATATCGAAGAGGCAAAACATCGAAGAGGTAAAACATCGAAAAAAATAATGTCGAAGGGCATAATATCGAAGGAAAAACGTCGAAAAGATAAAATACCGAAAGTCAAAAAATCGAAGAAAAATATACCGAAAGTGCAAAATGTCGAAAATGTTCTAATTTGTACCACAGAAAAAAATGAGGCATGCACATAGCTAGGGATGTCCCGACCGGGGGTGTGACACCCCCAATCCTCGAAAATTTTTGCATTTTCCTGGTAAAATTCAAACATTTTCTTGTGTTCTGTCAACGAAAATAACATTACACCCCCCCCCCCCCCCCCAAAAAAAAAGTTCCCAAAAGTTAACCTCCACTCCCCAAAAAGTTCATTACACCCAGCGATGTATCCAGAAATTTTTTTAGGAGGGACCGCCATAGAAAAATGGTAGCTTTTAAGTTGGGAAAAACAATAAACCCGTACCCCCTTCAGATATTTAAACATGTTAGGAGGGGGATCGGTCCCGCCATTCTTCCCTCCCCTGAATACGTCGCTGATTACACCCCCCTAATATTAGTTGATTCGGTCCATCCCTGCACATAGCCTATTCATTCTCTTACATTATTGTTGATATATTTCTCTGCAATGGTATGTGCACGTATGTAAGTTTTTCCTTTATTTTGTCACAAACTCAACTAGTATCTTTCTTTTCACTCAGTAACTATTTTTTCTTATTATTCGTCCATATATATGTCTTTCTAACGATATATATGTGCATTAAATCATTTATCATGTCGTAATACATAAGTATTTACTTTACTTATCTTTAAATGTCAACAAGTATTTCTTTTGTCACAAGCAACAAGGGAAAGCCCTTTTTGGTGTATGATGGTTATTTGTACAAGATGAATCAAGCAACTTCGAAAGTTTTTCTGTGCATTTGAATTAAAATATAACACTTTTTTTATCTATTTTCTTTCTTCTTACCCTCAACGATAATACAAAAAGCTGTATCTACTTTCATTTCGCAGACATAAAATAATAGAAAATGAACTATTAGAAAATTTATCGGTACTCTCATTCATATTCAATATTTTCGATATTTTACTTTTCGACATTTTGTTTTTCGATATTTTTGCATTTTCGATGTTTTACTCCTTCGACATTTTGACTCTTCGATGTTTTTTTTTCGACGTTTTTCCTTCGGTATTTTGCTCTTCGACGTTTTGAATTTCGGTCTTTTGACACTTTACCGTGGGTGTGGGTGTGGGTGAGTGTGGGCGTGGGCGTGGGCTAGTGTGGGCGTGGGCGTGGATATGGCTCGTTTCCTAATCCATACTCAAACCAACACTCACACCCTCTTGTAGGTGCAGCTAGCTAGGGTTTGTTCCCTCGACTGTAGGGAGGATCATATGAAAAAAAAATAGGTTGTATGTATGTGTGTATGTGTGTTTGCTTCAGGGTCAAAAGAACGGTATGGTGGAAAAAGGCAGAAAGGAAAAACGTCGAACGATGAAACGTCGAAGAAAAAATATAGAAAGGAAAAATGTAGAAAAGAAAAAGTACGAAAGTTAAAATGTCGAAAGAATATTCAGCAAATAAAAGATCACTAGCCCAAATACTGTGCACCTCAATTGGTTTTCCCCCCTTGATATTTTTGTGTTTTTATTGCTATACTTCTTTTATTTATTAACCTACTACACAGAGGAAGAAAGCCCGGAACGCGCTGCATCTTTTGGTATATTTACATTAAACATCAAATATAATTTAAAATGTAAAAGATGTATTAGAAAAAAAAGCGACATTTTTTTTTACTACACGGTATCCACAATGTTGTAACATTTTTTATTTCGCGTATATCTCGGCTTTGGTAAATGATAATATCTTGAACTTTTTTCCAGAAGATGCGCGGTGACAAGCTGTATGATCAAATTCCTTTTTGCCTGTTCCAATGGTTTTTCTTATACTCAAAATGAAAAACCTACATGATAGTGTCACTGTCCATTATATTGAAAATGTTTGAAAGACTTTTCATTTTGCATATATCTTGATTTGAGAAAATGATGGAATATTGAATTTATTTTTGAAAGATATGCCGTCGAAAGCTTTGCAAAACTTGTATAGACCAAATCCTATAGCGAATCAGAAAAGTCCTCAAAATCTTTTCTATATGATGGGAAGTGACACTGCCATGTAAGTTGTTCAATTTGAGTATAAGAAAACCATCAGAACAGGCAAAAAAGGAATTCGATCGTACAGCTTTTGTAGAGCTTTTCACGGTGCATCTTCTGAAAAAAAATTCAAGATATTATCATTTACCAAAGCCGAGATATACGCGAAATAAAAACTGTTACAACATTTTGGATACCGGATATTGTAGTGAAAAAAATGTCACTTTTTTTCTAATACATCTTTTGCACTTTAAATTGCATTTGATATTTAATGTAAATATACCAAAAGATGCATCGCGTTCCGGGCTTTCTTCCTATATATAGTAGGTTAATAAATAAAAGAAGTATAGCAATAAAAACACAAAAATATCAAGGGGGGAAAACCAATTGAGGTGCACAGTATGTTGACCAATGATGAATAAATTTTATTCAATAAAGACAGCCTAATAAGATTATGTCTAAAGTGATTGATAAATAAATAGATTAACAGTCCCTGTAAAATAAATATAAACAATTATCTTTTTCTTTTCGATGTGGTATTTTTCACAACAACATAAGATAATCCAGTTAGGAGTTCATCGATAGTAATATCATTATTTTGATAGCGCAAATACAAAGTATCAAGTCGTTGTTGTATTGCGTTCGTAGTAGTTGTTTTTGTTCTAGATGCAAGACCACCTATCATTTGAATGAGCGCGTGATTGAAACGATTTTCTTCACCTTGTATGCAGCGTATGAATGTCCATATATTTGGGTGATGTTTTGCAATACGTAAATTTAACCGATTGTGAAAACCTAAAACTATTAATGAGATACGGAAATCGTCAAATACTAATTAATATTATATGCCTTCTGCATTATTATTTGTTTTAATGCGAATACCGTAAACGTTCCATCTTTTTATATCAATCGTGTTAATCCAATAATTTTCAAAATAATCAAATAGAGGTCTCAGTGAATGAAATGATGATGATGATGATGCAAGTAATATACTTCCATGAATGTCTTCGAAAGATTTTAATACAAGTGGCGAGGGCAATAGTGCCAAAGCCATTAGTTTTCTACATGTCATACGAATACCATCATCATTACAATAAGAACTTGATAAACCGAGTTGTTATATCTGTCTCTAGATTGCTTGTGTAAAGTGGAAGTAGCAACCTATGTGATTGCTACGTGGAAACTAAATGAAAGTATAATTTTTTTTATCTCTTTTTAAATATAAATCAGATAAAATTACTTCACTACTAATAGCTTCAGCTAGACTAGGTTCAAAATCAGTTATTATTGTCGATGGATCAAAAATTCGATTCATTCCAATAGCTAAACCTTTTAATTCTTCGAAAACAAATTTGTATGTGCACTTTTTACGATCAGGTAATAATCCAATTCCGCATACGAATGCTAAATAAAAAAAATACCAATATAGATACACATATGTTATGAATATTTATCAACTAGATTTCACATTGTTCATATTTTATGAAATGAATTGTGAGTACTTGATCAAAAATCTTTGGACAAGTACTAAATGTTCCATCTATTAAAACAATTGAATTTTGAAATAACATTTTCAACTGTTCATTCGGAGCAAATAATAAAACACGTGTTTTTCGTTTGATCATTTTGTCAACACAAAGAAATTCTTCGTTTTTTATTGTTCTAGTATATAAATATGGAATGTCAAAAAGTTGTGAATCAGGAATGCGCGGCGTCTCAAGACGTCGTGCCTTGTTCATTGAACTATCTAAATAAAATCTGTAAACTTCATAAATAGGCCTTTCTCCATACTCATCTCTCTTTGCGACGGCAAAATAGCAATTGTCGCTAATTTTAAGATCATTTTAGCTGCTTCTTCTTCATAGATCTTTGGTATAGGAGTGCCTTCATTAACAGCACGTTCTTTGACGGCTTGTTTGAATCAGAGACGAGAATGAGGACGCTACAAGCAACGTGAATTCTGTCCTGCAGAGCCAAGGTCACGTTGCTTGTGGCGCCCTCATTCTCGTCTCTGGTTTGAACATAAGAATTTCTTTTTTTTCTGGTTCAATTACGTGGGAATGATCACCGTTGATTTGCAAAAGGACATCATTTAAATCTGTATGGACTGTTGTTGTACATTTTTTATTTTTACAGCGATAATATTTTTTTGTGGTGGTAGTTTTATTCAACATAAATACGTAGTTATCAATGACAAGCATTGGCTTTCCTTTTTGTGATGAAATGAAGGAAATTTTATTTGAAAAATTCATGATATCTATAGATTAAGGTAAAATATGCCAGGGGGAAACTGCGGACTTTTGGACTTGAAGTTACTTTGAGCTACTTTAAGCTACTTCAAGTTACTTTGAGCTACTTTAAGCTACTTCAAGTTACTTTCAGCTACTTGAAGTAGCTTACTTTGAAGTACTTTTCAACTTCAAATTTATCTGAAGTTACTTTAAGTTACTTTAAGCTACTTGTTCCTACTTTTGACTACTTGAGTGGTACTTTGAGCTACTTCAAGTAATCTACTTTGACGTACTTTGGCGTACTTTTCTACTTCAAGTCCGCCGTTTCCCCCTTGAAAATATGCCTAATTCTAATATATTTTCAATCAAAGAAAATTATGTAAAATATGTTCTTCGTTTGTAAGGGGCTTTCGGTTAGAAAAAAATGAAGCCAACATTGATACATAGGTATCAATAAGAAATAACTAGGAATAATCAAATGCATTGTATTCTGTGACTGGGTATCTCGGCTTGAGCGTGTAACGCGTAACTTCAAGACCGGAAGTTTGAATTCATCATATACGAAATTCATTGTCACCACCTTGTAGAGCATGGTCTAAAGTGTAGGGAAATACATTTTGTTCCATTAATAACTATGTCAAAGTGTATTTGGTAATTTGTAACAGAGATATTACTCACAGTTATAGAAAATTCTTCTATTTAGACCGCTAATGAACCTAACCCATATATCGAAGCAGTTTGAAATCAACAAAGTTGATTAAGGCTGATCAAGACTATGATAGCAGATGTGTCTTTTGACATAACAAATGATTTTGTATGTGTTATACTTTTTTGTAACGAGCTTATCTAAAACTACCCACTTTATAACGTCATCGCGTAACGAAAAATGAGTATTGTTTTTTTTCATTTGTCGGTCTTTATTTTTTTTTGGCAGAAAATATATATCTAAATCTAGTTTTTTATGAGCTATCTAATACACCTATTTTTCCCAGAGAAAGATTTCGTTTTTTAATAATTTTACGTAACGCGATGACGTTTTTTGTATTTTTTACATCTATGAAAAAAATATTTCCATATAGTAGTTTCTTAGGCAAAAACCACTATAAGCTATATTTAATGTATTCTTTATTAATTACTAACAGATTGCCATAAGAGTATAGCTGATTGATTTAATAAGTTGATTGCGTTCAGTTAGAATGAAATTATCAATCTAAATTATCTATCATTTCTATGATATATGCGTAAGGTGGGGAGCATTCAAAATTTCAGTTAACACTTTTTCTCCATGATTTATACATGGTTGGATAGAGCTCAAAAAACTGTGTAAGTAAATGTACTTTTAAAGTAACTTTCCCATTTTATAAGGTTTAAAAACCTTAAAAGACCGAGATCATACTGTCACTAGGACGATTTCGTATAAAATGATCTTAGTATTTTGAGGTTTCTAAGATTTATAAAATAGGAAAATGAATTGAAAAATACATTTTCTTAGATAGTTTTCTGAGCTCTATCGAACGATATATAAATTATGAAGAAAAAGTGTTAACTGAAATTTTGAGTTTTTCCCACTGTATAAATATATGGGTATCTCTATTAGCCAAACTGATTTATTGTTTTTATGGTTTCTTTTTGTACTAGAGGAATCAATAAACACAACGTCTCACATGTGCACATTCTAAGTGTAAAATAAAAATAGTATCTTGTCTTTACAGAGGTGTACACATAATAAAATGAACCATGAAAAAAAATGGTTGCAAAAGTCATCATCATCGTGTTACGAGACCGTCATCGCGTTACGTTAATCAAACTGATCCCTATTCAAAATAAGAAGTCTGTTCGAAGAAGCTTTTGCTCTGTTGGATATCTCCAACTGTTGACTACAAAATATGCATAGAACGTTTCTTTGAATACAGTATACATTCGCAGAGAAATAAAAAACAACCATGTCACCCTCAACTTGTTGTCCCTTTCTCGTCATCGCGTTACGCCATGTATTTTTGCTATAGTTTTCAAACCGCTCGCTCAAGTGAGCTCATACTCTCAGGGATTTTGCAGAACGTAGAGATGCATCTTACAATGAAAGAAGAAATCCTCTGAGCAATCTGAGTGTTGAGAAAAATTAATAAAACTGTGGCCAAAACGTCATCGCGTTACGCTTGCTCAAGCCGATCTATATCTAGCGACACATATTGCGCTGATATAAGTGGACAAAGAGAAGCATGGACCAACAAAATGAAGACTATTCACAATATTGGAGGCTGGTGACCTCTTTCATTAATATTGTTAATACTTTTCTTTCCTTTCGACATTTTTCTTTTCGACGTTTTTCCATCCATTCAAAAGAACATCAGGGTCAAAAAAAAAATTCGCTTAAAGTTGTTTTCTATAAAGGTTGTCGAAAGTAAATCGAGATCGGGGAATCCGAATCTGAAGTCAGTTTCTCGAAATTTTCAATTGATTTTTCTGGGTCAAGGAAAGGATTTTTTCACAAAATAACTAAATTTTATAAAGGTTGACGAAAGTAAATCGGGGTCGAAGAATCCGAATCTGAAGTCAGTTTCTCAAAATTTTGAATTCAGTTTTTTAGGTTAAGGAAAGGGTTTTTTAAGAAAATAATGATATTTCATAAAGGTTGACGAAAGTAAATCGGGGTCGAAGAATCCGAATCTGAAGTTAGTTTTTCAAAATTTTGAATTGAGTTTTTTGGGTTGAGGAAGGGGTTTTTTGAGAAAATAATGATATTCCCTCCACTGTAGGGAGGGTCATATGAGAAAAACTAAAATGCGTTTGTGTGTGTGTCTGTTTGTCGCAAGGTCAAAAAAACATCACAGGGAAACTTGATTTAGACGTACCTTCTAAAATTTCAGTAGAGGTAATTGACGTTGGGAAATCCGATTCCGAGATCGAATTTTAATTCCGGTATTCGCATTGGCTAGAAAGCCGACCAATCAGAAATGAGCCTTTTTGTTTTAAGCCTTTTTTACATTTTGATGAAACTTTACTATATGTTATCGTGGGCCAGGATTCTGAATCCGAGATCGGATTTTGCATCTGATCATCCGGTTGGCTAGGAAGCCGACCATTCAAAAATGAGCTTTTTCTTGAGAAAATTACGATATTTTATAAGATTGATGAAAATAAACCGGGGTCGGGGTATACAAATCCGTTATCGGTTTCTCGACATTTTTCGTTGAACTTATTCGATCAAGGAAAGGCTTTTTTGCGAAAAATAACGATATTTTATAAAGGTTGACGAAAGTAAGCGGGGGCCGGGTTATTGGAATCTGAAATCGGTTTCCTGAAATTTCAAGTTCTTGTTTGTATACGTTCTCTCTATTATTGGGACAGACACCGGAGGTATTTTTTGCACATGGGTACCTCTTAGCATGCCTTGAAGGATTGGCAAGGCAAACAGATTAGGAACACCTCGACAATACTCTTCAAATGTTCAAACGATGGAAGTTATTCGCACTTTCAAGTCCCATATGTTTGGTACGAAAACACTAATATGATTTCAGAAAGTGATGCTGTCCATGTCAAATCTCCGTATCTCAGCAGCTTTTAAAGGTATAACAGAAGCTATCTATGTTCAAAGAAAGGCGACGGTGCCTTTTGCAACGAGAGAGGAATGCGGTAAAATTTGCTAGATTTGCTTACAATCTTTCAATAGAACTAATTTTGTGAGCAAATTTCTCCCATTTCTTTCATAAGGTTAAATCTATATCCTGAGGAAATATATCCATAGATGAGGCAGGATCTTTAACCGGTATGTGGCAATAAACTGTAATTTATTATTATTATTATAAAAACCCGAATTTTTAACCTTGTATATGTTTCGAGGATCTCTAACTCGTGGAATTTCTAGTTGCGATAACTTGAAGTAATAAAAAAATAGATGTATAAAAACGATGCCATATCTTTTATGTTAAATAGACAATAAAAAACTGTTGCACGAGTGCACTGACGTAAACTGAGCGACTTGTTGCTTATATTGCAACCGTTCCGTAGATTTCGCTCACAAAAGATGTGTAGAAAAGCTAGTTTTTTTGAGAATACTGCACTAATATTTTCTTAATGAGGATTTCAATAAAACTCTGATTTTTCAGCTGCAGGATTAAATTAAAGAAATCAGAAATAGTTCATAACGAAGCTTTGGTTTATAAATCGCCGTCGAGAATTGTCGTGCTGCAGATCTAATGGTTTTTCGAAGTAAGCCGAGTTTGTGATTAGATGAAGTGTAAATAAAAAAGGATGGTGCTGTGGAGAGATAGAACGAAACATAGCAGCAGCTAGTCGTGAGTGGCGCCCCGAAGGGGCGCCGACGAACGACTAGCCGCTGCACTAGAAAGTCCCTTGAAGGAACGCTTCAGGCTGTTGGAATCCATCAAATAAACATCAAGAGTCTAGATCTAACGGGTTTGAATAAAGAGTAGAAGTTGCTAAGAACTGAGAAATAATTATTTTAAAATAAAGTGTGTTATGACCGAAGTGTTCCCCTTCGATCATAA